TAAATGCTATAGTCATAGTGTTGATGCTGGAGATGGTGAGATCGACGTTCCTCAGTCATAAGTAGCTGGCCTTTCATTGCTTTTGAGCCTTTATCTACAGGCTTGTGGCGGAGCTGATGGTGGAAAAGCAAGTCCAAGTTCTCAAAACTGGCACTGCACGTACCGCATTCATAAGGATGCACAGCGGACTGCGGATCAATGGTGTAATGCGTCTCCATCGGATCATTTGTGCAGTGAACAACTCCATGTCGCTTAAGAATAATCGCACTTTCAAAACCTTTTCCACAAATATCACAAATAAAGGGCATCGTTGAGCGGTGCCACTCTTGCTGGTGATTCCTCAACTTTTGTGCATTTGAGAAAGTGTGAGGACAGAAGGGACAAGCGTGAGCATTAAGTTCTGGATGCTTCTGCAGATGCTCATTGTACAGTCCCACAAATCGAAACCCTTGACCGCACTTGGGACAAAAAAAGCGCCCTCTTTTCTGTCTATGCAGCCGCTGATGAATCCAAAATTTGGTCCAGTTTTTAAACATCCTGTTGCAATCAATACATGTAAAGCTTTGACCCCGTGAATGAGTGAGCATATGGGCTCTCAGCCTTCCTAAGTGCTGGAATATTCGTCCGCATTGTGGGCAGAAGTACTTTCTTGGATCTGATTTCTGGTGAGTACTGTTCAGTTGAGTTACGAAATAGCTGGATTTGATCGGCTGACTGACTGAATAGAGGTTATTCTGAGAGTCATAAACAGTGGTGGCCATGACCTGAAGTGGGCAAGCAAGTAAAGAGGAGCATTTTTTGAGCTTCCTCGGAAAGGAAAAATCTTTTGGAGGAGATTTTACTGGACTTGCACTCCGCATTTTTTGAGGAGTTCTTCTTTTCAAGGAGCTTTTGGGTTGTAATCTGCGAGGGGAACTGTAACCAGAAGACTTTGCTTTTGTAAGCCGCATGGAAATGCAATGCTTGTTGTGAGTATGTAGATCTGAGAGAAGACTAAACGTCTGCTTGCAGCGGTCACAACTGTAACGCTGGGTGTTAGTGTGTCCTTGCAAATGTAATTCATAGTCATCTCTGGTGCCAAAGCACTTTTTGCAAAGGTGACACCTGAAGCGGATAACACCTTCAAATTCCATATCTTTCAAGGTGGTATGTGGGTGTTTTTTACCCTCACAAGTGTGCACTTTTAATGGCCCAATCTGAGAAAATCCCTTACCACATTTTGTACATAAGAAAGGTTTAATGGACCAATGTACTCTCTCATGGACACGTGCAGTGCACGCTTGAGTAAATGATTTGCCGCAAACCTTACAAGAGTATGGTTTTTCTCCACTGTGAATACGAAGATGGATTTTGAGGACAGACTTGTAGATAAAGACTTTGCCACAGATCGGACATGTATGGGGTTTCCCTTTCCCTCTTCCTCGTCCCCTCCTCCTTTTAGGGGTGATTTGATTACTATGACAGTCACTTTCCAGTTTGTCAGTCATGATTACTCTGTTCTCATCCACAATTTTCTCAGGTGTGGCTCTATCTTTGTATCTGTGCGCGTGTTTCCTACTTTTGGATTTATGGACTTTGCTGTGGGATCGAAGGTTGGAGAGCTGAGCGAAGGTTTTGCCACAATCCTGGCAGGTGAAGGGCTTCTCACCTGTGTGGACACGCAGATGAATGATATACGCAGAGGCATGATTGAAAGGGCGTCCACAATATTCACATTTGATAATCCGTTTTTCTTTGCGTGGCCGTCCGCGAGAAAAGGAAGGATAGCCACGTTTGCTTTCTGTGATTTCCATACTGCTTGCCTCAGCATTGGCTTCGGTCGAAGGTATTTGGTTATTATTCTCTGAATTTGCCTCTTGTGTTTTCTCAGGTAAATAATCTACAAAGGCATCATCCAATGTTACATTTGTTGCGTTTAATGAGTCAGAAGGCAAGGGTCCTTGAATTTCAGTGTCAGAAACGTTCACATCTGCAGTGTCCTCATGGATTTTTTTGTCAGAATATTCTTCGCATTGGCTCTTACTTTTATTAGGGCAGGACGCATCACAGACAGCTTCCTCAGATGTTTGGACAGTTGAGTAATTCCTGTCAGACTCTCTTTCAGACTGACTACTTGAGATTTCATCTGTTGTAACAGACATCTGAGTGTCGATTTGTGGTTCATTTAATTCTTCATTAAGCAGCAGTGATTTTGGTTCATTATCTGTGGTGCTGGAAAGACCATGAGAATTTGTCTCACGGTCTTCTGAATATTTCTGCGCATCCATATCAGCCTTGTTGACAGGGGTAAAATCTGAGTTTAATTGCTGTGGAAATGTATCTACATCTGCTTCACAGGAGCCTTTTTCTCTCTCTTTTTCCTCAGCATTACAGGGCAAGGAGTTGGGTAGGACATTAGTAGCTACAGGCGATGGTTCCTCCACACTTCTGTTATGGGAACTTAATGCCAGACCTTTTGAAATTAATTCCCCCATTCCTCTCTTCACTGATTGTTCCTTGGTATCGGCCTCATCAGAGTTGGTTTCTTGCTTCTTGGCCTCTCCTTCAAGCATGATGTACGAATTACCTGCTGGTGCCTGAGTTTCCCCCAACTCAAGCTGAAACTAAACAGAGGGGGAAAAGAATCAAAGATAAGACAACCTCTTATAAGATATATTGCATCTAATGCTAAGCAGCTGCTTCACCTGTTATCCAAGTGGAGAGATTAATTTATTAATATAGATAGGTGTAGTACATAATAGAGAAAGTACATAACAACAAACAGCATCAAGATAAACATACAAAACAGTTTTACAAAAGAATATTATCATATAGGTACATATATGTGATCATAATGTAAACATGGTTGATATACATTTACATTTGTTGCCACATAATTTTGACTTTATTGGTATATTTTTAAAAAGCTGTTACCCCATGTACAAGAATTTGTATTGGGGTGAAATAGTATCGCTGTATTATGATTTTTGATTATGTTAAAATATCCATAAATGCATATTGTCAGTAATAGCCAAATTTAGAATTTTCATAATAATAATAATGAGTAGCTGAATACTTCATGATTATTTTTTATAGATGCGTTTATGTTTCACATGTTTCTATCATTCCGCCAGTGGTTCATTCAAACAACCGGTTCATAAGAGTCATTCGTTAGTGCATCGAACTACAAAAAAATTAAAAATTAAATTAATTAATAAAAAAAATACAGAAGGGTTCTCTATTCATTTCCTCTGTATTTGTTAGTTCTTATCCAGCAGTTTGATTTCATGATGTTCAATTCAGACTACAAACGCACTTCAACTGTTTTTCAACTGTTCCCGTGCCGCAGTAGATAGCGGCACAGAGTGATGGCGCTCTGCATAGGCCATTCCTGCCATCGACACTGCACGTTTCTGTAATGCTTTATGCATGCTCTGTTATAATGAGCCCTGCATCTATCAACACAGCACAACCTGTCCTTTAAGACTGAGTTTATTCTGAAAAGCGAAATATGCGTATTTATACATATCAGGATTAATGTGTCTGTGGGTTAATTCAACGCTACCCGACGCTGGACCTATAGAATCAACATTTCAAAACCTCAAAAATGTATTTTTAAGAACCCCACTTGTGCAAAATTGCCCATTGTTTGCTCGACTGCATAAAATTAGATCCTGCCTTTACCTTGTAGAAAGTACATGAGAAAAAAGCAAAACAAAGCAAGGCAGTATACACCAACCTTTCGTGCTCTTTCTTTTTTAGCACCAATGAACTACGGGTTAGGACTAAACAAACGGAGTTTCCGTTTCCGTTTCCGATAAAAGCCTCTTCGACGTGATCTTTCTGGATGTGTGGCTGTGTGAAGGCAATCACCCAATTTGCAAATAAATAAATGTTAAATCATTCTAGTTGACTGCATTTAGCATTTAACACGCAACATGTATGTCATACCATCAATTGCATATAAAGGCTGGGTATGGGTATGCATTTTATTCGGTTTTATTAACAGTTAAAAAATACATTAAAATGTTTCAGAAAATAGTGTTTTGACACTGCACAAGTTAAACAAAAATTACAACTGCAGAAATGGTTTAAAATTAAATATGAACTTATACATGAAAGTATGAATTTATAAATGAAAAATATGAAACCATAAATGATAAGCCATTAAACTTACTGTGCATGTCAAGACAACGGGAAGAATAGCGCTGATGTGATGCTGCATTACATTTACACAGAAGTGAGCATCATGTTGATTCATTAACAGGCATCACAAACTAACAATGAACAATATTTACATAATGTATTAATCAAAGTTAATGCAAAATTATAAATATCATTGTTAATTGTTTGTTCCGAATACATATAATGAATCAATATTAATTTACACTTATTTGTTTGTCAAAAATGTACTAGTATATATAAATGAATATTATCCTTGCAAAATGTAAAAATATTGTTCATTGTTTTTCATGTTTGCTATTGCATTAACTAATTTAACATATAGAAACTTGTAAACAGCTGCCGAAATAATCTTTACACAAGCACTACAAACTCCACATATGATAGTTGAAAAACAATTCTGACATTTTTGTGTCTCTCCCAAGGCTTTGTATCAGATGCAAATTTAATTTAATTTGTTGATGAGCTTCCTGCCTTTAGCAATTAATGCATTTATTCGTTCAGTCCTCCATCAGTTGTAGTACTTAATCAGCTCACCAAATCAATCTTCATCATTTAGATTTGTCCAGCCAGTTTTACTATTACTAGCAACATTTCGCACAGTATAACGCACTCAAAGTTTAATCTTAAATGAACATGTGTGCATGACCACATCTGTGATTGGTCTACGGGAGACTTGGAAAGGCGTCACTATTGTGTTTATTGATGCAATGCAGGACATGTTTACATCAAAATGTATTTACAGTTCACTAACAATACACATTGGCTACCTTAAAAACAGCCATCAACTGTTCTATTTTACATTTATACAGTGCATTCACCAAAAATCTTTCTGTTTGTATTGAAAAAAAACTATTCAATAGATGAATTAAATTAAGGCAACATCAATGAAATACAGAGGAAGCTGAACAATGATATTAACAAGACAAAAAACAAACAAACTGTTACACTACTGATCAGATATGAATCTTTTTAGCTATTCAATTTTGTTTTACTATAATGCTATAATGTACTTAACAGGTGCTGCCTTATGACTTCTTTTTCAACATTTTAACATTTTGATTGCATACCCAGCAATAAAGGCAAGCAGCAGATCCACCTTTTATGAATGCATGGACACCGTTCACAGGAAAGGTATCGGTTTCTGCTCTAGAGCATCTTCTGTGTCATTATTTGTTGTTGTTGTTGTTGGTGGTGGTAGTGGTGTAGTTTCAGGCACTGGCCCTAATATGCGATGAACCCTCCTCCTATGATTTTTAAGGGACACCACGTCAGGATAGCTGCGCTGGCAAATCTGACACTTGTATAGATTGTGTTGAGTGATTCCCCTCGACAGCTCAAGACCTTCCACTATATGATGGACCCTCCTTCTGTGGTTTCGGAGGGACTGTTCATCTGGATAGCTGCGTGGGCAAATGTGACACTGAAACTGATTGGGAGTGATGTTTTGCTCAATTCCCTTTGATGGCAGAAACACACCACCCACAATATGATGCACTCTTCTTCTGTGGTTTTTCAAGGATTTTATGTTAGGATAGGAGCGGTCACATATCTGACACTGAAACGGTCCAGAACGGACTGGTTCCACGGTTCCCAGATTAGTTTGTTTTGGCTGTTTAGGCCGATGAACTTTCCTCAAGTGATCCTTCAGGGATTGAAGCTTTGGATAATAGCGAAGGCAAATGTGACATTGAAATGGAGTAGATGGATTGGTTTGTGCACCTGCTTGGTACAACTGTTCCTGTGCATTCTCTGCTGGCATCATTCTGCTGTTGACTCTATGAACGTTTCTTTTATGCTCCTCGAGTGCCTGAGCGGTTGGACAGTTCTGGTCACAAATCTGACATGTCAAGACGGATTGCCTGCTGTGTGAGACCAGGTGTCTCTTGAGCCCATCTAGACAACTGAACCAACGCACACACACTGGGCACCGAATCGGTTTAAATGCAGGTTTACAGGCATTGCTTTGAATGTGAACTTTAAGCGTCAATGGGCTTTGGAATGTTGTACCACAACGAGAGCAGGTGTGTTTCTTCTGACCTGCAGTATCGCCAGTACAACGCAACCGTATGTGTCTTGACAAGGAACTGCGGAGACTGAACTTCTTTTTGCATTTATGGCAAGTCAATGTCTCAGGAAATGGCCTCTGGTTCAAATGTTGAGGTGCCAAGAGTGCAGGCGGTTGTGCCTTTATGTTATGTTTAGAAGAACCTGAAGACTGTTGCGGCCGAGTCGGAGCGTGTGATGGTAACGCTTGGGAAAATGAATGAGATTTTTGCTGGGAAGCTCTTTGCTCACTTGTAGAGCTTTGAGATTGGTTGTGCAATTGCTGATGTGCCTCAAAGTCCATCCACGACTGCAAGTTCTCACCACAGTGTGGACAAATATAGGACTCCTGCGCATGCTGTTGCAGATGTTCGAAGAGAAGTCGTGGACACGTGAATGAGGCTCCGCATTCGCACGTCACTCTTCTTGGAAGCACAGATGGAAGTGACATAATCCCCCAGTTTCTGTTGCTGCTAGTATTCTGAGTGCTTTCTTGTCGGACTGTTTGGTTTTCCATAGATGGTGACAGGACGAATAAGTTTTCCTGAGCTGCAGGTGTTTTAGACTCCACAGTTCTGTTACTTACTGCTGAATTAGTGTTTGTTGCATGGCACTTCTTTCGATGGATATTCATATTGTCTTTGCGGCTAAAGAACTTACCACAATTAGGACATGGAAACCTTTTAATTGGCCCAGCCATAGCTGATGTAACATTTTGTGGCTTTAACTTTCTTGTCCCGCAAATCTTCAGGTGCTCCTTTAGAGTAAATACGCGGGAATAGCTTCTCTGGCACCCGTTGCAAACAAACCGCTTCAAGCCTTTATTAGTCACATGCACCTGAAAGCCATTACTAGGCACAGCTTGCATTTCCTTGTCCTCACGAGGCTCTACAATGACAACATCCTCACCTTCATCACAGTCATCTCTAGCCAGGTCTGTCAAATCGTCCTCATCCGAGTCCTTCTGATCCACATCTATTAATACATCAATTTCAGCATCATCCAAAGGCATGGTCCACTGCTTTTCAACCAATTTATCTCTTTCCTCTTGTTTTATTCCAACCATGTCGGCTGGTACTCCAACAGAGTTTTCAGTTGATTCAGTTGGCTTGGAGTTAGAAACACTGGCAAAGATGGACTCAAGGGTTTCTGTGGGATTCAACTGATCCTTCAGCTGCATCTTCAACCCAATCTGATCTTTCTTGCCAATAGGAAGTTCTATGTTCTGTTCCTCAATCTTTATCGGCTCTGTGCCTACACCAATATTTTTATGCTGTGTTGACATTTGATTTATTTTTGAGTTTGGGACAGCTCTATTGCACTCCTCCAAGTTTTGGAGTTTGACATTACCGCAGGTGCCTACAGTGGCTGAGGATTTTAGAGAAGCTTTACATGGACAGTTGTGCTTTTTGAGGCTGCGAATCCGTGTGTATCCACGCTTGCATAAAGAACAGTAGAAAATTTTTTCTGCCTCTTGAGCTGTAGGGCTGATTGGTTTCAGAGACATTTTTCCCATCAAAGGTTGATGGTTTCTAGAAAATCCATCAGAGCAGACATGGCTTTCGGGGACGGAGATTATAGTTATCACAAATTGTTGACAACAAAGACAAAATTTAACTCTTTCTTTTTTATGCAGGGCATGATGCATTATCAAGGTGTCTATGTCCTGGAAAACCCTACGGCAGAGTCTGCACTGATGTCTGCCTTCCACGTTGTCCCGGCCAAAAAGTTTTTGCCGAGTCTCAAGAACCACCACAGGACAGAGAGTTTGCGTCACGGATATAATCTTGCCCTTCTTAGGCAACATTTTTGCAGTTTTCACACCGACCACTATGTCTTTTTTCATCTTTGATTGATTCTCCAGTGGTTTGGGTTTTGATATCATCATGGTGATCGCAGATTGCATTGGTGCTCTCGGTGAAGCTTTTCTGGGGGGCAAGTTCCTCTGTTTCATTTGGATGGGTTGTCTATGACTCATGTAGGCAGATGCTAGCATCTTCAGGATTGATTTCTTATTAAATGCAGCTGAATCTTCGCCAGATTCTGGTGATTTCTCATGGTCTTGCACAGAATGGTCTACCATGTTGGAGGTTTTTAAAGCATCACTGTCCTTCTCAGGTAACTGCACTTGCTCTTCGGTCACAGGGTGGGATTCAGATGGCTTCAAGATGTTGCTGTCCACATCTGCAGTGGATTCATTCTCCTTGATGTCAGTGTTTGAAGTAGGAGGTGGACTTTGTGCAAGGGGTTTTTCATTTGAATGGGATGGTGAAAGACTGTGAAAAACTTGGTCTGAGACAGGACGGCTGGAGTCTGTTTTGCCATCTGGCACAACTGGAATACTCTCCAAATCTGATTTGACCTCGTTTTCTGAACCATGTTGCTTTTTGTGGTCCTCAAGAGCTGTAAAACCACTAAACTCCTCGCCACAGTCACATATGTAGGTGTGGGCTGGAGATGCTGGAGTGGGCAACATTATACAGAGGTGTTTTTCAAGGAGATCTTTGCTCGCAAAAAAGCTTCCACAGCTGACACAAGTAGGTAGTGCTGATTCTGGCTGTTGAGAGATTTCACTTGCATGAGACGGCTGGTGCACCAGGAGTGATGCCAAACTGTGAAAAGTAGCTGAGCATGCCACACAGCTGTATGTTTTAGGACTTCCAGTAGAACTTGTTTCTTGAAGTCCAAGCATTTTGTAGGCGCCAGATGATTCCTCTGCCAATGTTAAATTTAATAAATGTTACCAACGTCTTTGTAATTTTTTAGTATCTCCTAAAAAAGAAAGCAAACAAACAACATTAGTGGCATAGCAAATGTTCAAATGTTTTCAATTCAGAAATAAATCATAAAATGTTATATTTACATATGCTGTCATGTTTAGGGCCCTATGAGCTAGAGCTGTGCAATTAATCAAAATACAGTTTCGATTTCGGCCTCCAACGATTATTAAAATACAATAACCGCGATAAAACAAATATTGCACCCCATTCCGCCCCCTTTCCAGCTGTGCACTTTTGCTCCTCCATAAAAGCCCAATTTCACGTGCAAATCAGTAAAATCTTGTTAACATGACTTTCGCAAAATGGGACATGCTTTATTTATTAAAGTTTATTCGATTTATTCATGTTTTTAAAAAGCACGAAAGAGAACTTGCGCTGTTCCTCAAGAGGCTTTTTGTGCATGCGCTCGGAGACGGAACAGAACACAGACGTGTAAAGTCAACTTTTAGCTTAAGGTGCGTGCCTAAACGGTCGAATACATGCAAAAATGTGTCAAAATGTGGCACTTGTAGATTATTCACATAAACCCTCGTTGCTTATGTAATAACAGTTGAGAATGAAAATACATGCGTAACAGTAAAGTGGATCTGTGCGGCTCTTAAAGTGGCGGCAGGCTAATATTCCTGCTGCTGTGTGCTTAATATTAATCAAACAACAAAAGACAAAGACAAAATCACTCACTGCTCTTGACTGAAGGACTTTTGTAGCTTTAATAAGAAACAAAGGAAGTTGAATTCTTACAGTGAAGTAATGTTTGGTTGACCAATTAGCAGAGAGGGGCGTTTCATTCCCGCCCACATGTAGAGATCGAATATTCAAGTTGTTTATTCGTTTTCTATCCCTGAATGTAAAAACGAAACATTAAGCCGGATTCTTGATTTTTCGTTTTGTTTGAATAATTGAAAAACGAAATATGTGCCCGTTTTTCATTTTTCAGATTTCAATATTAAAACAAAAATTGATTGGACGGAAGATACCCTGATTCAGTACAGTATCCTGTTTCATTTTACATTCAATTATTCAATTTCTGCAGTAGGCTGTTAGCTGAATACTTCAGACTTGCATAAAAAAACTTAAACAATTATTTTCAATAACTTTTGAGGACTTTTATTTGTTTTTTTTACTAATATTAGTTACCCTAGTATTCTGCAGTGGTATTGAGAATTGTGAAATTTCTCTAAATCTCTACATGTCTCTAAAATAGATGTCATAGCAACCTTATTTACAGAAAATATATATTTGATATATATCGCTATCTTTAAATAAATTACTTGTATAAAGTTTTGGTCATGTGGCCCACTTATAATCGTGTTAAATAATTGTTATTACAATATTGACCAAAATTATCGTGATTATGATTTTTGCCATAATCGAGCAGCCCTACTGTGAGCACTGTCAGGTAAGTTATTCTAAAGAGTAATTAACAGTGTAATTATATTACTGTACTAAATACTTTCTCTAAAAAATATTGCATTACTTACTACTAATTACTTTTAAAATCCCATATCAACTTCGACCTTAAACAATAGAACAATAGAAGGACAGATATGAAACTGCTCTTTTAATTATTTATTCCATACATTATTCATGAACTAACCAAAGTATTTAATAGGAGAAGGTTACGTTAAAACTTTGATGGTCAATCCACTATTATTTCATCTTGAATTGTTCTATAACAGGGCTGTCCAAACTCGGTCCTGGAGGGCCGGTGTCCTGCAGAGTTTTGCTCCAACCCTAATTAAACACACCTGAACCAGCTAATCAAGCTCTTACTAGGCATAGAAACTTCCAATCAGGTGTGTTGAGGCAAGTTGGAGCTAAACTCTGCAGGACACCGGCCCTCCAGGACCGAGTTTGGACAGCCCTGCTCTATAATCTACCCCTGATAGCACTCGTACATCATGGAGATGTCTGCATTTATATCTGAGTGTTTGCTCATCTGCAATACCTCTAGGCTATAGGACGTTTCCTATCAAATGTCAAATAGATGTTTAGAAGATGTGTTTAAGATGTTTATGATTTAGAATGAATGTAAAACTGACATCTTAAAAGACGTCTATCAGATGTTTGTACATAGCAGATGCTTTCCAGATGAAGCGATCTTTAACAAACATCTTGCAGATGTACGTGTGCTATCTGGGACAGTATTTAGAAGTAGCTAATTAAATTACAGAAAAATTAAGAGTAATCCATTACTTTACTTTTTCAAGGGCAACGTAATTAAATTAATTAAACAAACACTGCCTATGAGTTCAGTGATGTTTCAAAACAAAAGACAATTCTGTAATGCAGTCCTAAAAATTGAATTACTTTTGTACTGTGTAATTTTATTTTTGGGTACATTTTGGATTAAATAAAAAAAAAATAAACTAGCATTAAAAACAAACTCTTCACTCTATTTTCTAGAACGAGTAAAGCACAATATTCAATACAGTAACAAAATGAATTGTTTTAAATGATTGTTATAAATATTATTTAAACAATAACACATCAACAAATGTGATGTTTAAATACTGAACATTTCTTGATATATGACATTAGGGGAACGTAATAATAGGTTTAAAAGCGTCTTTCATCTGGAATTTATTTTAAATACGTTTTACTTTGTGTAAAACCATTATAAATACAAAGATAACCTTTCTAAAAACTTGGCAACCGTGATTATAACTTTATACTTGGTCAAAAAGCGGAAATCTTTTCAAATCGCGTACCGCATGCAACCAATCACATACAACTGTGAGTGAGCTCATGCATATTTAAATGAGAAACTCATTTCTCCTTAGAAAACTCAGCTGTTTTCTCAAATTGCTGCACCGCTTTCGTTTTTAAGTTGTGTTAAAGTATTCGTTATACACAGCCTACGTTTCAAATGTAGCAACAATAGAGGCAGAAAAAAAGCAAGCCTGCTCATGCTTACCGATTCTGATAGGCCTGGCCACTTACCGTTGCACTTCACTAAAATTTTTCAATAAACGCCGTTTCACAACAATTAAAACGCAACACCAGGGTAATATAAAGATTAGCCGTCATTTAGTTTTAGTCGAAAGTATAAAAAAAGCGAGAATAGAATCTAACAAATGCTAATAACAAGCATTGCAATGGATGCTGCAGATTTAGCATGTTCTACAGATATACACAGATAGAACTATACAATTAGCCTGCAACATCTCAACGCTGAATTACACCTCTTTACAAAATCAAACGCGCTTTGTAGCTCATTCTTCTTGGGGGGTACAGTGCATGCAGAACGTCATTCGCGTGCTGCACAAGGGAATTGAATGACAAAAACAGCAGCTAAGGGCTGTATGCACGAAATAAAAACGAACCGTAACAAGTACCTCAAACTGTTACTGGCTTGCACTCACCTTGGGAAAGTACAATTTGCAAACTTGCATGATTTTAGTGAAATACGTTATTTATTTTCAATCCGAATGGCGGTATATATTTTGCACCCAGTTTCTGTAGAGACGTGTAATTCCCGCCGTTCACTATAGAGGGCAGTATCTCTGAGCGCTCGCTCCCATTCTTCTTCTTTTAATGTTTTATGGCGGTTGGCAAACCAGCTTTTGGTGCATATTCCGCTACCTACTGGGATGGAGTGTGAGGCGATGATATCAAGGGAAATGCTAATAAAAAAAAACAATATACAGTGGGTACGGAAAGTATTCAGACCCCCTTAAATTTTTCACTCTTTGTTATATTGCAGCCATTTGCTAAAATCATTTAAGTTAATTTTTTTTCCTTAATTAATGTACACAGCACCCCATATTGACAGAAAAACACAGAATTGTTGACATTTTTGCAGATTTATTAAAAAAGAAAAACTGAAATATCACATGGTCCTAAGTATTCAGACCCTTTGCTCAATATTTAGTAGAAGCACCCTTTTGATCTAATAGAGCCATGAGTCTTTTTGGGAAAGATGCAACAAGTTTTTCACACCTGGATTTGGGGATCCTCTGCCATTCCTCCTTGCAGATCCTCTCCAGTTCTGTCAGGTTGGATGTAAACGTTGGTGGACAGCCATTTTTAGGTCTCTCCAGAGATGCTCAATTGGGTTTAAGTCAGGGCTCTGGCTGGGCCATTCAAGAACAGTCACAGAGTTGTTGTGAAGCCACTCCTTCGTTATTTTAGTTGTGTGCTTAGGGTCATTGTCTTGTTGGAAGGTAAACCTTCGGCCCAGTCTGAGGTCTTGAGCACTCTGGAGAAGGTTTTCGTTTAGGATATCCCTGTACTTGGCCGCATTCATCTTTCCCTTGATTGCAACCAGTCGTCCTGTCCCTGCAGCTGAAAAACACCCCCACAGCATGATGCTGCCACCACCATGCTTCACTGTTGGGACTGTATTGGACAGGTGATGAGCAGTGCCTGGTTTTCTCCACACATACCGCTTAGAATTAAGGCCAAAAAGTTCTATCTTGGTCTCATCAGACCAGAGAATCTTATTTCTCACCATCTTGGAGTCCTCCATGTGGGCTTTCATGTGTCTTGCACTGAGGAGAGGCTTCCGTCGGGCCACTCTGCCATAGAGCCCCGACTGGTGGAGGGCTGCAGTGATGGTTGACTTTCTACAACTTTCTTCCATCTCCTGACTGCATCTCTGGAGCTCAGCCACAGTGATCTTTCTCCCCCTCTCCCCCTATAGCTCAGTTTGGCCGGACGGCCAGCTCTAGGAAGGGTTCTGGTCGTCCCAAACGTCTTCGATTATGGAGATGGAGGCCACTGTGCTCTTGGGAACCTTAAGTGCAGCAGAATTTTTTTTTGTAACCTTGGCCAGATCTGTGCCTTGCCACAATTCTGTCTCTGAGCTCTTCAGGCAGTTCCTTTGACCTCATGATTCTCATTTGCTCTGACATGCACTGTGAGCTGTAAGGTCTTATATAGACAGGTGTGTGGCTTTCCTAATCAAGTCCAATCGGTATAATCAAACACAGCTGGACTCAAATGAAGGTGTAGAACCATCTCAAGGATGATCAGAAGAAATGGACAGCACCTGAGTTAAATATATGAGTGTCACAGCAAAGGGTCTGAATACTTAGGACCATGTGATATTTCAGTTTTTATTTTTTAATAAATCTGCAAAAATGTCAACAATTCTGTGTTTTTCTGACAATATAGGGTGCTGTGTGTACATTAATGAGGAAAAAAAATTAACTTAAATGATTTTAGCAAATGGCTGCAATATAACAAAGAGTGAAAAATTTAAGGGGGTCTGAATACTTTCCGTACCCTCTGTATATCCTTCTACCTATATTTTATTATATACATTTGTTCTTTTCAGAAAATTAACAAGAGCTTTATAACCTTTATGAGAACTGTTTAAAACACATTCTTTAATGTCATAGGATTAATGCCGGCAGATTTTAATTCCTCTTTTAACTGTATCCTTTCCCTTTCATATGCCCTACAGTTAATCAGCACATGCTCTACAGTTTCTGGAAGTCCACAATGATTACATTGACCAAATTCATGTCTTCCTATCATCTGGAGTGATTTATTAAGAGAAGAGTGTCCAATTCTCAATCGAGATATAACTGTATCATCCCTTCTATTACCATAAGCAGTTCTTACATGGCCTACTTGTTTATTTATATTATACAAATGTCGCCCTGTGTTACCTTTATCCCATCTCTCTTGCAATATCTTTCTGACAGCTACTTTAATTAAACTTTTAATTTCTGATTTACTCAAGGGTATATGTATGTCAATATTTGTGTGCTTCTTGTCTGCCTCCTCATTTCCTTCCACTCCAACATGAGCAGGCACCCATAAAAATTCTGCTATAATTCTCAGTTGCCGTGTTCGGTACAAGCTTTGCAGTACTTCTAATAAAATATCTTGTCTAGATTCCGATTTTCCACTCAGTATACTTGTGAGTGCAGAATATGAATCTGAACAGATTTTGTACTCCCAGTTTCTGGGTCTTTAGAATCATCTGTATAAATCTGTACAAATTGAAAAAAATAAATGCTGCTGCACTATTGTCTCTTTTGGAACATATTTCTTGTTTTCATTTATTAAATTAAATATTTGCAAATCAACTGTTGGCATAGAAAAAAGCCAAAGTGGATATACTGGCAGAGCCACCGTGGGGCTAATATCTATATTACTGATACCTATTTGTTGAGCCTGGTTGCCTACTGTCCAGCCAAAGCAATTCAGATATGTCTGCTCATATTCCCAGCAGCTCTCCAATATTTTTTTTACTGGATGATTGGTAAAATGACCTTTAATACCAGTCCAATATACCATTTTAAGCTGAATTTCACGAATGTCTAGTGGTGTTTCACCCATTTCTACCTGCAAAGCTGTCATAGGAGAGGATCTAAATGCTCCACAACATATTCTAAGGGCTTGGTTTTGAATCACCTCTATCCTAGTTGCTCACTCCCCTTCCGCACATGTAAGGCTTAAATATACGGCCATCAACTGGTGTGAGGGACCGGTCCGCTTTACCCCCAGAAACAGACCTACACCTTTCTCATTAAATACAAATATTACTAATTCATCGTTTTCATTCACTTGACTGGCTCGAAGACCTGGCGGGCAAAATATCAATAGAACTGCAGCACAAGCCTGTCGATTTTCGATCTGTTCCAATCCAAAAATAATTTAGATTAGGCCTACCCTCAAAAGAATAAAACAAAGATATATGAACAAAATTCAAAGTTTTGGTTCATTAGCAATCCATATAAATCACCCGCCGCAAAATTTAAATCACTAAAAACAGTGGTAAGCCTACATTCTAAAACGTTTAATGTGAGAACACTAAAGTGCCTTTAAAACAGTAAAAAGATCAAATTCGGTACACACCTAATTGATGAGGCATGCATGCTTTATTCTGGCAAGCAATTGAGTCCGGAACATGAACGCAATGCGCTAAACTGTTAAGCGTCTTTATCATGGTTTATGGGAAAACATTTAATATTAAACTTTGCGCATTGTGTTTATATTCTGGGTTCTTCTGCTTGCCTGTACAAAGTATGCATCATCATTAAGGTGATTTGGCCTTTAAATATCACTGTCTTACTACAGTCATCATGGCCAAAAGTTTTGGCAGTGACATAAATTTTGCATTTTGCAAAGTTTGCTGCTTAAAGCTGTTGTGGTGTTCATTCACATCGTTTCTAGATTATTGTGTAGAGTGATCAAATGCATTTTAAATAATTGTTAAAAGCTTAATTGGCCAAAAAATGAACTTTTTACAAAAAAAACAAATTTCACTGTTTTTTGATCCTGACACAAAATGACCATCTAACATTAATTGACTAATCATATCAGCAGCACATGTGAAAGTGTGAATGAGTACTAGTCAGGTAAAATCACTATCGTACTAATTAGATTGTACGAGCAGACTGATTGCTATAAAAGGAGGGAAGAAGCGCTTCCAATCGTGTTCTTGTTAGCAATGGTTACCTCCAAAGAAACACGTGCAGCCATCATCGATTTGCATCAAAATGGCCTCATATGCAAGGAAATTGCTACAAAGAATATTGCACCTGAAAGAACCATTTACCATTGAAGAGGTTGCTGATAGGAAGCAGCAGGGCTGAACTAGGCTACTCCTTCAACCAAGAAACCAGCTACTTTGTTCTAAAACAGAGCAACCTGTTTATATTTGATTTCACTATAACTATTGATGATCATGTGGTGGTTCCATAAACACATTTATTCATTAGCTATATGGTCAACATGGAATTGTATGGAAAAAAGTAAAATGATGCAGAAATATTATCTATATTGTGTTTTGTAGAGGTCAACAAAACATGAGTATCATGTAGTGCCTTTGTGTTGTGCTCCTTAGTATTATTAATTCATACAATGACAATCATAAATATCACTCAGTTTTAATTCAAGCTGATCTCGAGATATCTTCTGGCCATTGTTTAGAATCAGCCATTATTGTCAACTCAAGATATATCTGTTCAGTTATCAATTTAGAAGAACCATAATATTTTCTTAAATCAATTAAATTCAAAATAAATGAAAGGCAAAAATAAAGTAACCGATGATAGAGGTTTCACTTTTAAT